GTACCTCTGGTGAAGCACATCAATGGGGCTGACAAAGTATAATGGCTTCTTGTGGCCTGTCTTTGTCTCCATGACCTCACCTGCTCCTGCAAAGGCTTGTAGAAATGCTGCTCACCCCACTCACACATTACAGTTAGTTTGCAAAATGTTGGCAAATGCATGGAAAAGGAGGCAAGCTTACATGGCCAACCTGTTGCAACACCCAGGGCGTTGGAGCAACGTCCTTGTGGTTGAATGGAGGTGACTGTAGGGCTGTGATGATGGCCTGCATCACTTCATCCATCAGGCAGTTGTACTGCTGCCACAGCTGCCACAAGATCTTGTTTTTCTCATTAAGCAGGCACAAGACCTTGGTCTTGCGCTTGCTGGCCCTCTCCTATGTTAAATAGATCATTAGTTGTATCTTGTGTCACTCTTGTTTGTGTTGCTCTTGTTCATGTTCCTCATGTTTGTGTTGCTCTTGCTTGTGTTGCTCTTGTTTGTGTCCCTCATGTTCGTCTTGCTCTCACTTCCTCTTGTGTTCTGTGTCTCCTCAGCCAGTCCCTGCAAATTGTCAGTAAATATATGAAAAATAATGCTACACAGTGGAAAGGGAGCACACAAATAAGCCATTCAAGATGCTTTTTGGTGTTGATATGTCTTGTCTTGTTGTTACCCACTTGTCCTCCACATGCACACGTTTTCAATGTTGCCCATGAGCGTTTCATCCTGTTCCCCCCCCCAATGAAAACAATCTTTATTTACTCATTGCTGTCCCTGATCCATGGGTGACCCTCAACAAGATATTGCAGGGAAGAGAGATATTCCTCTCTCCAGCCTGGGGGGGGGTTGCACTGGGGTAGCACAGGCAGTTGACCAGTGTGGGCCAACATGAGGGGCAGACGATTTCCATTGCCCCAGCCACTGGATTCTTTTTTCTCCTGCATGCAAATGTGTGAGTAAAATGGGATTGAAGGACAAGAAAGTGAGAACACAAGATACATACCTTGTGTTGAGGTATGACATGACCTTCTCCCACGTGTGAAGACAGCACCAGCACCAGTGCAAGCTGCACCTGGCAAATAGGATCTTCCTGTTCTTGTTGCATGTGATCTGCATCTGCAAAGTGTCCAATGAAACCCACCTGATGAGGCGTTTTGGGCCACCATCAAGTGAGTAAACGTCAACACTCTGGTCTGAGAGGCCCCAGAGCTGAAGGTGCTCTGAGTTGGAGGGCATGTTGTGGACTGTGTGGTTGAGGCAATCCTGGTCCTCCTACAGTGAGTCATGATGTTAGTTAATTGGTTTGTTGTGGCAGACAATGAGGAAGGCGTACCAATTGCTTGAGCCACACCTCAAGTTCCTCATTCTCATCCTCCCCCTCTTGTTCGTCAGCAGCCAGTGTCTCACTTGTGGGCACCATGCTTTGCTCCTTCTCCTGGTGACAAGGAGGAGAGGATGTAGAAGCTGGGGAAGGAGGCTCAGAGAGCTGAGACCTCTTCGCTGCATGCCACTGGTCCATGTGGATGCACTTGGCCCACCTGCATGCACATTTACATGTTAGCACATTTATGTAGAGCATGAAATGAAGAGGATACATATGTGGTGTAATGGTACACCTTGAAGATGTTGAAGAGCTCCTCCTCCTGGGTTGATAGGCTGATGTAGTTGATCAACACACAGAAGAGTCAGTGGTAAAGGACATCAATGCTGTGGCGCTGTTGTCTGTGTAGATGTGTGTCTCAAAGTCATGTGCCTTGCCATTGGAGTATCTCCACTTGTGGTAGTGGTGCAGGTAGTACTTTTCAGTCACAATGTCACCAAAGATCATGGCTCTATTGTACTCAATCTGTTGTGCCTGGTCAGGCAAGGCGGTCTGGAGACAGGTGATGAGGTCCTCATGTGAGACACAGCCCTCATACTTGATCTCCTGCAGGTGAACAATTAAGGATTAGAGATCATGCTATAAGATGAGAGGAAGAAAATGTATGGTGCCCATGGTGCTGTGCAATGATGTTGTGAAAGATTGACTTCCACCTGTTCCCTTGCTTATATCTCATTAGCACCATCTCAGCTTGCTACCAATCACTTGGCCATTAGCATAATCTGTTCAAAAAAGCGTAGGAGAAAAAAACCTAGAAGAGGAAGCAGCCACATACACTGTTGGTTGGTGTCTTGTGGCATTGTTTCTTGGCCCCTTTTGAGCCACGTCTCATTCTCTTGTTGATGTTGTAGTGAGCTGCCATCAGGCATCTGCAAAATCAAAAGTTAAAATAATGTGCTATTAATTGAGGAAGATGTGCATACACATTGCTTGGTTGCATCAATCTGAAAAGGTCACATTAGCAGTAATGACTGAAGATTACATGCAATTTGAAAGGGTACGTACATGTTGGTCTTTTGGTGTTGCAAATGGCGTCCTCCCTGCTCCATCTTGAAAAGTAATTGAGTTGGAGTCCTGCATGAAGACATGCAAGACTCCAATTCAATAATTGATCAAATCAATTGATCAAAATCAAAGGGGGGGTCCCCCATACCTTTTGGTGCTGCCCTGTTGGGGAGCACTCATGAGAAAGTGTGAAATGAACTGTGCTGCTGCACTGCTTTTATTCAGGTTTGCAACCAGGAAATATCCTAACACACACTTCAGCAGAAGGCCATGATTGACAAGTCTTTCCTTTTTTGATCATGCTCCCCAATGGCATTTCCACACATGATCAACTGCTGGGTGAGGACAGATGAAGAGTACAGAAGCTGACAAGAAGAGGAAAGTGTGTGAGGACAAGAGGAGCAAGCAGCAGCTGGTGAGGAAGAGGAGAGTGGTTGCAAAACCCAAGTGCATCTCTGTGACTCCCTGATCCAGGAGCTGGCTGCTAATGGGGTGGATTGGGGAGGCAATGATGACAACACTCTCTACCTCCTGTTCTCCACAGAGGACCAGCAGAAGGCTGGTGGTACCACAGTCCACCTCAGCTTTGAGCTCTGAGCCTTGGCCATGCCCCTGGCTGGCTTCATGTACAGATTTGTGTTTATTTAGAAAAACATTGCCTTTATACTTGTGTCCCTTCTCTCACTTCTCCTTTGACATTCTGTGCTAGCAGCCCTGTCATGTCTCATCAACACTCTTCTGGTAGGCCATCTTCATTGACATTATTGGCCACCACCCATCATGTACTATTGACACTCTTCTGGTGGGCCAGCTTCCTCAATGTTCTTCGCTGTGGGGCCACCAAGATACCCAACAATCCATGATTATTTGCAGATCATTGGGTTTATTGGCCTTCCATTTTCCCAGTGATTCATGATAGCCTTTTCTAAGGCCCCTGAGCAGGGTGCAAGAGGCAGGGCACGAGGAGGCCGAGGAAGTAGGGGAACCCAAGGAAGAGGAGGCAGAGGTTGTGCAGAACATGTGAGGCAACCAGCCAACTCTGGCATGGATGTGGAAGTGGAGGTTCTCTTGCCCACACACCAACCACACACACGCCAACCACCAACCGCCTGCACACCGACCGCCACCCACGCACCCACACGCCCAACCGCCCACATGCCCAACCGCCACACACCCAACCGCCCACACACCAACCGCCAACCGCCCACACGCCAACCACACGCCAACCACGCACACCCAAACACGCAAACCGCCAACCACCGACCGCAGACCGCCCGCACACCCACACGCCCAACTGCCCACACACCGCCCACACGCCCAACTGCCCACACACCGCCCACATGCCCAACTGCCCACACGCCAACCGCCAACTGCCCACACACCAACTGCCAACCGCCCACATGCCAACCGCCCACACGCCCACATGCCAACCATGCACACACGAACATGCAAACCGCCAACCGCCAACCGCAGACTGCCCACACACCCAACCGCCAACCGCCCACATGCCAACCGCCCACACGCCCACACGCCGACCATGCACATGTGAACACACAAACTGCCAACCACCAACCGCAGACCGCCCACACACCCACACGCCCAACCGCCCACATGCCAACTGCCAACCGCCCACACGCCCACACGCCGACCACACACATGCGAACACGCCAACCGCCAACCGCCCACACGCCAGCCGCCAACCGCAGACCGCCCACATGCCCAACTGCCAACCGCCCACACACCAACCGCTGACCACCCACACACCAACTGCCCACACGCCAACCACACGCCAACCATGCACACGCGCACACCAACCACCAACCACCCACACGCCAACTGCCAACTCACATGCCAACCGCCCACACGCCCAAGTCTTTGTTCATCAGTCTTCATTCCTTCAACTGTAATTACTTACATTACCACAGAATCCTGTTGTGCAGGAGAAGCCACTGTGGGGCCGCTCTACTAATGTGAAGTGGGAGGACTCTTATGATCTTGTTTGCTTAGTGTGGAAGAACAGCTAAAACTGGGGTAAGAATGCTCATGACCTGGCCACTCACTCCAAGAAATTCATTGGCTGGTCAAAGGAGCAACTCCATGACCACTACAGCTACTTGCTCAAGAGTACTTCTATCCTCAACCATCCATTTGTGTGGAGTATGTTCCCCCTCTCTTGGTGTTTGTTCTGTTCTGTTTCTGGACAGCTCACTCCACTGTAGAGGAGTGGAGTGTGGCATTAGGCACAGGTGTAGAAGAGCATGAGAAACATGAAGATGACCACCAGTCACAAATCCTTCATGCCAAAGAGCTGATTGCACAGATTGAAGGGGAGGAAATTGTGCTTGACTCTTCCTCAACTGCAACTGAGCAGGAGCTTTGCACAGAGGGTGAAGCTATGTCAGCTGGTCACTGACAGACCCATAATCAACGCCATGATGAAGCTGCAACAGTTGTATGTTCACCCACTCCTGCCTTCAATTACATGTGAAGTATATCATCCCTCATTGCTGTTGCAGGCCCAGGAGGACATGGCTTTTTGAAGAACTATTACTGAGTCACTTACCATGGTCTGCTCAGCCATTCAGCGAGCCCAAGAGCAAGATGCTCTCTTTGCACAACTATTGCACGCTCTTGCTGCGAAAGAAGGTATTTCCCTTCATGTGGCATCAAACTCTTCCTCCTCAGGGAAGCGTCAACGTGGTGATGAGGAGCTTGACTAGGTATTCTCTTCACAACTACAAACAACCTCCACAACTTTGCTGACTCTCCACCTTTGCAACTGCTGATTGCCAGACCAACCGCCCACACGCCGACCGCCTACATGCCAACCGCTGACCGCCAACCACCGACATGCCACCACACGTTGACCCCCGACTGCCCACACGCCCACCACTGATCGCCCACCACCGACATGCCACCCACGCCAACCGCCGACGGCCGACCACCAATATGCCACCCACATGCTCACCGCCCACACGCCCACAAGCCGACTGCCGACCGCCGACCGCCGACCGCCGACCGCCGACCGCCGACCGCCGACCGCCGACCGCCGACCGCCGACCGCCCACCGCCCACCGCCCACCGCCACCATCCACATGCCGACCGCCCACACGCCCACACGCCGACCATGCACATGCCACCCACCTGCCAACCACCCACACACCAACCCCCGACCCCTGACCGCCCACAACAAGCCGACCGCCGACCACCGACCGCCAACTGCTGACTGCCCACCACCCACATGCCGACCGCCCACACGCCGACCCCCGACCGCCCACACGCCCACCGCCAATTGTTACACCTACCACCGCTGACCGCCCACACACCTCTTGCCGACCCCACCCGCACGCCACTGCCCACCGCCAACCATCACTGACAGCTCGCCCCCAAGCCACGCCCACCGACAGCATGCCCGCCCGCAGCACTACGCCCACCGCAGGGCACTTGTCTCCTCTCGCCCCATTTCGCCTCCCAAGAATGTGTCGACTTGTGTGGAGGTATTTGTCGACTACCTGAGCTTGCAACGCGCCGCAGCCTTTCTTAGTCGGCAAAAACTCAGTAGCTACAAATAAACACTTAATTTCAATTTAATACCCCAGCGAGTTTTCTCTTTCTTGCGGACCTGTCGCCTTCGCTTTTCGGCTCCCTTAGAGTTACCTGCTATCGCCGAGCTTGCAACCGCCTCATTCTCACTTACCTGGATCACAAAAGCACAAAATCTGATTGAAAAAAAAGAATTTATTTGTGAGAGGAAACAAAAGGAAAAGGTATGGCTGTTTGATTATCTCATCTTTTTTTTAAGGCTGGTGCCGCGAGACCTCCACAGCCTTGGGCTCATTTTCGATCAACCCACTCTCTTCTCATCTCAAGCATTTATTTTATTGGGACATTTTAAAAATCTACAAGAGAGCGATAGATGGATTTCTCGTGGGGCACGCAAGTGGTCGCCCTCACCCTCACCTTCGTGGGCGGCCTCGCCACCGTTCTTGGTACCCCACCTCACGCGACGCAACGCGACCTGGCACGGCACTCACACGAAGCACGACACGCACGCACGCGCGCTTCCAGGCGGCTCGCTGGCGCTGCTGGCCGGCACGCCCAACCCGCGGAAGCTGGGGGCCATGCTGGGCGGCTCGTCGGGCGTGATGCTCTACATCGCGTTCGCCGACCTCATCCCCGATTCGGCCCTCGCCATCGGCTATCCCTACACCTGGCTCTTCGTGCGTGCCGTGTGTCGTGTGTCGTGTGTCGTGTGTCGTGCCGTGCCGTGTCGTGTGCGATGTGTGTCGTGCCGCGCGTGTGCGGTCAGTGCTGACGTGTGGTGACGCACAGTTTGTGTTGGGCGTGGTGGGATTCTCGCTGGTGATGTACTACATACCCGAACCGCACTTTGACGGCGACGACGACGATGAGGGCCACGGCCACAGCCACGGCCATGGGTCACGAGAGGAACGCTCCGGGTGCGAAAACGCCGAGGCGCGCCACGGCGTACGTCACACCACGGCACCCGCGCGTAGCACCAGTGGCCCGTGGATGACGATCGATGGCTCACGGTGTGCGTGCCTTGCCGTTGTGTGTGGTGTGCTGCAGCCCACGAAGGCGGGGCTGGCGACGGCGATCGGCATGTGCATCCACAACTTGCCGGAGGGCATCGCCGTCTACATCTCGTGCCTGCGGTGCG